TATGCCATAAAGCATTTTGCTTCTGCTAAAAAATATGTTCCCTTGAAGGCCACTAAAACTTCTTTTTGATATTTCCATCACTAAAAAGTACACTAAAGGTAAAAATAAAATAAGCATACAAATAGGTACAGAGAAACCTCTAGGAAGGATATTTGCATGAATGTGAGATTGAATGATTCTGAACATTACCTAATACATCACATAGTTGTTTAATAAATTCTTTTTGATGATGATATGGTCAAAAATCAGGAACCAACAATCTTATTGAACTCACAATGATATAGTGCTATTGAGTTTGCAAATGGTTCTCCTGACGACAATCCTGTGAGGTTGTTTGTGCAAATGTTATTATCTACATTTTACAAATATGGAAAAAAAAGGCTCCAAGAGGTTATGTGACAACTATGGTCACACAGCTAGAAAAGGGATTTGAAATTGGTTTTCTGATTTGATTTTCACTAGACCAATGGTTTTCAAACTTTTTGGTCTCAGGACCCCACAACACTCTTATAATTTACTGAGAACCCCAAAGTGCTTTTGTTCATGTGGGATACATTTGTTAATATTTATCATATTAGATATTGAAAGATAAAATTTTAAAATGTTAAATCATTTAAAGATAATAACAGTAAACCCATTACATGTTAATATACATAAGATATTTTATTAAAAATAATTGTATTTCACAAACAAATGAAAAAACTAATGAGGATAAGTGGCCTTATTTTACGTATTTTTGCTTAATAAAAGACAACTAGATTCTCCTGCTTCTGCATTCAGTCTATTTTCATGTTGTTTTGGTTGAAGTTTATGAAAAAAATCCAGCCTCACACAGACATGGAGTTAGAAAAGGGAGTAGTATTTAAATAGTCAAATAAGACCTTAGTATTATTATGATTGTTTTGACTTCACAGACCCCCAAAAAGGTCTTGAGGACCCTAGAAGGACCCTGAACCACACTGTGAGGACAGTTGCACAAGCCCATGCCACAAAACCTACACATCTCCTAAAGTGACCATTTTAATGATTACAGAACTGGTAGTACAGACTCTTACCATAACTTGGCTGGGCTATTACAATAGTTGCCTGCTTGGTCTCCCTGCCTCAAGTCTCTCCCTATTCTAGTCCATCTGCCACATAATTGTCAAACTGGTCTTCCTAAAGCATAGGTCTGACTATGTCAACCCTCCATCCCACCCCCCAACTCAATAAATTTCAATGGTTCCCTCTCACCTCCAAAATCAAATATAAAATCCTCTCGTCAGAATTCAAAGCCCTTCTCACAGGTAGCATCCCTACTACCTTTCTAGTCTTCTTACACCTTACACTCCTCTACACACATAATTTGTGATCCGAGATACCTATACCGATCTCTTTGCTGTTCCTTGAACAAGACATTTCATCTCCAGACTCCAGGAATTTTTACTGGCTGTTTCCCACTACTTTTTCTTCTTCATCTCTGCCTCTTGGCTTCCCTTGACTCTTAGCTTAAAAAAAAGAATCCCATTTTCCGTGAAAAGCCTTTCCTGACCCCACTAGATGCTAGTACCTTCCCTCTACTGACTATCTCCAGTTTATCATGTTATATCTTTGTACATAGCTGTTTACAGGTTCTCCTCCTCCATTAGACTGTGAGTTCCTTGAGAGCAGGGACTGCCTACAGCCTTTCTTTGTTTCTCCAGGGCTTAGCACAGTACTTGGTACATATTAGGTTATTACTAAATACTTGTTGACTGACTGGCTGACCTGCATTATTAACTATGGAAGAATAAGAAAAAAGAATTGCAAAAACAAATTAGTGGTAGAGATGGCCTTTCCTTATAATCTCTTCCTTCCCTTAACTTGTATCTTTTTAAAGACTAGGTGTTTGGTTAGATTTCTATGGGGGGCTTGATATTGGCAGGAGGAGTATTTGGATGTTTTGCAATAAAAATGATTGAGCTGATATCTACTCTGAATCTCCTTACAGGCCTGTGCAGTCCCTCTTCAGCAGACCATTTCTAACTGAAACATAGCACTTTGGTATTCAGTAATGCACACCCCTTAAACGAGGCAGTTTATGTACACTGTTGGCATAAGTGTTTGGCTCTTTGGTTTGATAGATTAAGGAAAGGAAGGAAAGGGTTTTTGTTTGCTTTTCCTGGGTTGTTTTGTTTTTCCCTTGGGAGAAAGGTAGGTGGGCAAGAATAAAAAAAAAAAAAAAGCAAAATGTGAATGTTCCCAAAGATAATATTATCTAGCTTATTTGGTTCAATTCAACAAGTATAAAAACCAAACTACTCCCTCACCACCACTTTCCCATTTCCCAATCCCATACCAGGTTTCCTGCCTCATTTCCCTGTTTCTGTCAAAGGAGCCAGCATTTTCATAGTCAACCAGGCATGTAAGATGATTATCTTTGATTCATTCAGCTCCTTCTTCCTCTGAGTAACCACATCAATGTGGTGCTATTCATGGCGTCCCATCTTGAATGTCCTCTCTACCTATCCAAATTCTGCATATTCTTCACAACTTACTTCCATGGTGCCTTCGGACAAGGGCTGGATTTGCCTTTCTTCACAGTCCTTAGTTACGTAATATTTTAAGGAAAAATATGGAATGTTTGAGAACAATTTTTAAAAATCACTTTAGTGGCAGCTACTTGGCATACAATTGATATGTTAACTAAAAATCCTCCTTATCTATTCCTAAAGAAGATCCCCTAATAGTAGGGTTGCTATAAGGTATAGGTGGCAGCTGCCTTTCTCTTATGATATGAGGAAAACAGTCTACTACCAAATAACTCCCTAGTCTGCCATAATGCCCAAAATTCCACCGTTAGAGATACATTCCCTTGGGTTAGAGTACTATGTTATTCAAAAGTGCTTTAAAATGCAAATACTCTTGGGAAGAATTAACAGGTTAATTATCAGCTGAAACTTGAAAGCCTACTTGGAACAATGGATAGAGAGCTGGTCTTAGAGCCAGCAACATACCCCTATTCAGGTCCTGATGGACGTAATACAGCTATGTGACCCTGGGCAAGTCACTTAACCTCTAGTGTTCTGCCCAGCAAAATAGCAACTTGAATCCCTTTCCTCTCTAGAGGGATGACTTTATCAGGTCACTTAACTTAGATTGATGTTTGAACAAAGTTTACGGTATATTACTTAAGCATACACTTATTTCTTGTGATTTCAGGAGCTCTAGAAGGGCCTTCCTTGCCCCTAATATCCTTCACTCATCCTCCAAAATGCCTGAAATTTCGCAATTAAAGTTTCATTTCTTTTTTAGCTCCAGCCATGCAAGGATTTATATGTCAAAATGTGGATGCCCCATTAGAGATAACACACTCATATTAGATGAGTTTGACAGAGGCCTTCCTGAGTGACTTTTAAAGGGAGAACAGTTGGGTGGTAACAGAGCTCGAACTTCAGAAAAGGGAGGCTGGCAATGCTCAAAAAGTAATTTCACAATTGTGCCCATTGGTGGCGCTAAAGCTGAAGGTTGGCTTGGAGTTAACAGGGCAGCACTGGCTATTTTGCCGGATTACCCAGGGGAGAATGGGTCTGGACAACCCAACCTGAGGGCAGGCTTGAGTGGACTGTTTGCATCTTCGGTCCATGGGAAGGTAATTGACACAGCACAGGATGTTGTGAAGAATAGGCTTTGGTTCCTGGAAGGCTGGAAGGCCTAAAGAGAGTAATGGGCTGCAGGTGCTAGGTAAAAATTGGGAGTGTTGTCCCCTTCACAATTCTGCCCGGGAGAGGCAGATGTGATGGCATGGAAAAAACACTGGATTTGGACCCCATGTGGCCTGGGATAAATGCCTGGGACAAGTCCATTTAATCTCTATGAGCCTTCATGTCTTCATCTATAAAATTAGAGTGATAATTTTTGCCCTCCCCATCTCACATTGGTGGTGAGAAGTGGTTTGTTTGTTTGTTTTTTTAAATAGGCCTTAAAGCTCTAAAGCAAATTTTTATTTTTGCAGCAGCTCTACCTACTCTAACAACCTGCACACTTTGCCAACCTAATTTCTATATGTATTAGAAATCATATGCTTTTAAAATATTCTGGAACTGGGAGTTTTTATTCATTTAGACTGGCATTATTGACGAAGCTCTGAATTAAGATTTCCCAAGATTCTCCCTTTCAGAGAGCCTACAAGAGAATGGGGAAGAAGGTACAGGGAGGGACTGAAACAGGGAGAATGAAAGAGAAAAATCTCAATTCAGTGGCAGGCAATTCAGTCCCCTTGAAGAATACTCCCATCAGGGAAGAGTGATATTCTGCAGTGGGAGATGGGGGCCTTACCATGGGTATGATCTGCATTAGAGAATGTAAGCACTAGTCTGCCACTGATTGCTGAGTCTCCATGGACCACAACCAGGCTCAGGAGGAGAGGAATAGGAGAATTCAGAAGAGTGGGAGGGTATGGACCCAGAGAGGAGACTTCATGGCCAATGAAATAATAATCATGGGGATATTGTAATGAACTACACAATCAGGGACACAAGAAAATTCCTAACAATGGACAATATTTATATTCTCTCTCCTGCATATTGCTGATGCACAAAAGAAAAGGGGGAGAAAGGGGGGCAAGACAATAACACAGAAACTGTTTAGAAGAGGGAACTTAAAATAGGTACCTTAGAAGCTTTAATTATATGAGGACTACAGAGACTAAAGAAGGAATTAATAAGTACCAGGGCTATGAATCAAAGAATAAAAGTCTAGAATAGGGCAAAAGAGAAGAGAAATAACAAAGAACGAGAGAAAGAGGCTCTCATTCAAAGGATGGTCAAGTTCTCAATGAAATGATTTTCAGCATTTTAGGGCTTTGCTAATTGAAGAAAAATAGTCACTCCCTTCTGTGACATTAGACATTTGAAGGTGTTTTAGATTTTATTAAGGGGGGGATGGGGGGTGGGGGGGTGGGGGGGGGTAGTGGAAAGTATACTGGACCAGACAGGATGCTTAGGTCCTAGTTCTGACACTTACTGGCTGGGTCTACATACCTTGGCCAAGACTCTCCCCCTCTCTGGCCTTCAGTTTCCTCATCTATAAATATTCATGGATTGGAATGGATAATCTCCAAACTTCCTTTAAGCTCTGAAGAGAAACCTTGTAAAGGAAGATAAATAACATTATGGTTTTAAATTGGATATCAAGTGATGAACCAAAATGAATTTATTAAGCATTCATTATAAGTCAGGCATCATGCTAATCTCTGGAGACACAAAGAAACTTTAAAAACAGCTCATGCCCTCAAGGAGCTCACATTCTAACGAAGGAGACAGGTACATGCAAAATGTACATGAGTAGATAGGAGAAAATCTCTGAGTGAATGGCAAAAGCAGCTGGGGAGACAGAGAAAGGCCTCTTGTAGAAGGTGGGATTTGAGTGGAGGCTTGAAGAAAGTTAGGGGAAAGTAAGAGGTGCAAGTGAGGAGGGCCACCATGCTAGCGAACCTGTACCACAGCAAATGGAAGATGGAGGTCAGGTCCATGTACCTTTTGAGAGGACCGTGTTAACTTCACAAATGACGTTCACTTCCTTACTAATGTTTCATTACTGGTTTTCCATCTTTTCCCTTGTGCTTCTGTTATCCCCATGGACCAACCTTACAATTAAAAATGATGATTCTCATTCAATGGACATGTTATTACCTTTTTGTGCATGCAGACACATGTTTGTGTTGTCAACGTTTGGGCACTGAGTTTCAGAAAGAACGTTAAGCTTGAGATTAAGAGTGGGGAAGGGAGAGCTGTCAGCAAAGCATTCAGACGTATCTGAACAGGACAGGACAGGGTCAAGTTCATGTTCAAGACACAAAACAAGAAGGGCCAATGCCATACAATGATGTGATGCTTGTCTTGTGATGTCATTCCGTTGCAACATTTCAGCTGAAGAGTCCTGCCAACGTCCTGGCCAGTCCTCCTCAGGGCATGCCAATTTCCCAAAAGGTTCCTTCCTCTAAGCCAAAGCTCCAGAGGTGTGAATGCAACCCATGCTGATACTTATTTTTATGTTATTTCTCAATTTTATGCTTAATTTGCTCCTTTTCGTTTTATGTATTTCAACACAGCCAAGTGTGTGTAGGGTTTTCCCCATGGTCCTTTAAATGCTATAAAACTTTAATACAGGGAGATAAAAACAATAATAAGCCATGCCTTCCAGCTCTCACATTTAGTTCTTTGAGTTAGGCATTCACTAGTTTTAGATACAGATTTAGATATGCAAGTACTTACACTGCTTTAAATGCCCTTTCTTCCCACTCCTCGCCCACCCTCACCCCCATTGAAAATTATATCCTCCCCTTAATATGGGCATGGAACTCCCATTGATAGCACAATATGGCATCATTGCAGTTCTCAAATTACCATCATAATGGCCTAAATTGTGCATGTGCCAATGCAATTTAATATGGCCTTGAGTGTATGCAAGTTGGGTGCCCAATTCCAGGTTTTAGACGTGCAACCCTGGAACATCATTTGGAAAAATTAAGCCTGGCTCCTGAAATAGTTTGTTGGGTTGTTCTCTTTTCAGCATAATTTCCCTCCTCTCAGCTTTCTAATGCACTTAAACCACTGAGATTCTTTAAAGTACGAAGTTCAACAAAAGTCTTCAAAACAAATTAGTTTTAATTATGTTTAGCATTTATAATGTTTGCAGTCTTATTGAATAAACTAGGTGTGCATTAAAAAATAAATTCACTTAACAACATGTCAGTCACCCAAATTTTAAGTCTATAAATGAAATGGAAAACATTTATTACACAAATTTAATTACAATTCTAAGAAATAAACATGCAAATTAGATAGAGTTCAATTTGCAAATGCTAATCCCCATCCTTGATCTAGTTCCTTTCCTTTCTGATTTTCAGTGGATGTGTCTCCCTGATTCCTAGGGTGCCAGGCAGTAAGAGGTTTGGTTTTCACAGGCTGAGGATCACTGCTTTAAAGAAGTGTTATATTTAGCACATCTGGCACAGTAGCAGTAAACAAACATTATAGTCTTTGTAACACATTTGTGCAGGTGCAATTTTGCTAGGTTGTCTCTACCTGCAAAGGCTATGTTATGCCTCCATTACACCTGAAATGACCCATCTCGACTAGGGAGGGAGTCCCTTGGCAGAAGTTATGGATTTAATGTTTCAAAAACAAACCCCACTTGAGCCCATTTTAAGGGTAAAATAACTTCGCAAAATACGGTGATTCTGGAACTTGGGTTACGTTTTTCTTTCTTTTTTTTTCCCCCTCGGGAGTCTTTTTTTCTACTCCCCACCCTTACAAGAGAAGATGCCAATTCAAGTTGTAGCAGGACCACGAATGCTATTTTATGCATATGCAGCTGGGGGTAGAGGGAAAAGGGGAAAAAAATATAACTGCTTACCCCTGCAAGACATCTGTTTCTCATCTCTCTGCCGTGGCAAGAGAGGAAAGTCTTGCAAAGGGTGGGAAAGGCACAGATTTAAAAAAAAAAAAAAAACCGCAGCAGAACTATACCAAAAAGGGTTGGGGGGGGCCATCTCGGAAGGATGCAGAGGGATTGCATTATCCCAGCCGGAGCTGAGCCCCCGGGGCTAGGGCGGGAGCCTGGGAGCGCGCGGGGTCGGCGGGCCGCGGTGGCGCTGCGGACTGGAGCTGGGCCCGCGCGTCCCCGGGTCCCGGCGGCGGCGGCGGGAGCCGAAGCGGGAGGCGGAGGGGAGCGAGGGAAGGAGGCAGGGGGCGGGCAGGGGTGGGGGTGAGAGGGGGAAGGGAAGGCGCCCCGTGTGCAGCCTGAGGAGCGGCGGCGGCTGCAGGAGGAGGAGGAGGAGGAGGAGGAGGAGGAGGAGGAGGAGGAGGAGGAGGAGGAGGAGGAGGAGGAGGAGGAGGTGGTGGAGGAGGAGGAGGAGGAGGAGGTGGTGGTGGAGGAGGTGGAGGAGGAGGAGGAGGAGGAGGGAGGGGGCGAGGAAGGCGCGCTTGTCATGCTCGCTCTCTAACCCTGGGGGCATCCTGAAAACCTCTCCTCGGAAACCCACGGGGAAATGGGAAACAGGATTGACGGGTTTCACACGCTCCTCGCTAGACTGAGCCGCTCATTATCATAACAGTCTGGAGGAGCGGCGGCGGCGGCTCAGAGGAGGCCAGCGGGACCTGCCGGGCAGCCCCAGCCGCCGACCTCGCAGCGCCGGGCCGCGGGACGAGCCGCCCGGGGTTCCCTGCAGCGGGCGCGTACGGTGGGGGCCAGGAGAACGGGGGAGCTCGGGGCGTGGGGTGAGCGCCCGCCCGCCGCTGAGGTGGAGCAGAGCAGGAGGAGGAGAAGCAGCAGCACCCACGCCGCTACCTCCCGGCTGACCCCGCGGTAAGAGCCCGCGTGGGCTTCGTGGGCGGCCGCCGTGACCGTTGCCCAGGGGTGGGGGCGGGAGGAGGTGAAGGGGTCGCGCGCGCGCGCCGCGGGGGCCGGGGTGGCACTGACCGCTCGCCCGAGGAGGGGTGGGGGGGGCGTGGGGGGGGCTCTCCACGGTCACAGGCGCGCGCGCACCCACACAATACCAGCCGGCCTTTCCCGCGGCAGCGGAGCTGGGCGCGCGCGGGCGGGCGGCCCGGGAGGGAGGGAAGAAGCGCGGGTTTTTCCTCTTCCCCGGCGCTGGCGCGCGCCGCTGCTCGCCCGACTAGGCGGGGGCCCCCTCCAGCCGCCGCTCCCTCCTCCGGCTGCCGGGCGGCCTCGGCAGCGCCCCCTCCCCACCTCCTACGGGTGGGTGCAGACTGTCAGGGGGACCCCCCGGGGGCGCTGGCCTGCCCCTTTCCCATTCCCCTGCGCCTCGCGGTTGAGGGGGAGGAGGGAAGGCGTGTGGGCGGCAGGAGCGCGCCTTTGCAAGAAAAAAAGAAATGCATTAAATGGCACCTCCTGTCCCCCTCCACCTCCCCACCCCCGCCACCTCCACCCCCGCGCTCTTCTCCCCTAGCCGCGGAGCTGCGCTGCGGGCTTGGCGGGAAGCGGCGGCGGCGGCGGCTGCTCTGTCCTCAGCTCACCTCCGCGGCGGGGCTCAGGCTGCTGCCCGCCTGGTCCACGCCTCCGCCTCTCCTCCCTTCCTCCCTCCTCCTCCTCCTGGGCCTTAGCAACTTTCCCGTGTGCCTGGCTCGCCGCGGGTGCAGCTGCGGGGAGGCGGTCACCGGGAGAGCCCCGCCCGCCAGCCGCGGCAGCCGAGGGCGCGGAGCTGGGGAACCGGGGAGACTCCCCGCATCCATCCCCCGGGGCTCAGAATAGGTTTGGCACGGACCGGAGGGAGAGCGAGCTCGGCATCTGCTGCAGGCTGGAGCTCGGGGCCGGGGCCGGAGCGGGCCGAGCCTGCGCCACTGCCAATAGCCATGAGTCATTTCCTTGGAATCCTACCTTTGGTGTTTATTTCCCTTAGAAGGAAACTTGTTTTAAAAGAGAGAGTATGAGAGACAGAGGGAGGGAGAGAGAGAGAGAGTGAGTGAATGTGTGTGTGTGTGTGTGTGTGTGTGTGTGTAAAATAATAGCTCTCATTCTTTAGGGAAAGGAACATACGACACCACGGAAAGACAACTTGCTCTTTGTTCCCAAACACTTCGGGTTTTATTTACTTTCTCCTAGGGACAGACGAGAAAAAGGCAGTGCTCATTAACCCCGGAGAACTGCTAATTTACTACGACATTGACACTGGGAGCATAATCAGTGATTGTGCCACAGAGGCCGCCACAAGCGAAGAGTGGGGTGTGCCGGCCTGTCCCCACCAGATTCCTTCAGAAAGAGATGGATCGCCCTGCGCGGGCCAGGGACAGCCTGACAGCAGCCACTTGTCCCCGCTTCCCCAAATCCCCTTCCTTCAGCCTCCCTTGGCTCGCGCTGTCTGTCCTAAAGCTTCCTTTCACCGTTTGTGGCTGAAGAGTCAGTGAGGCCGGACCAAAGATGATCTTATGCCCAGCCAAGCCAGTTTTGAAAGGAGGGGTGTTTTGTTACTTCTCTTTAGAGCTTTGCTCTCGTCACAGAATTGAGTGGGTCAGTAGAGCTCTATAGTCACCCACCTGAAAGAGACAGAACCTCAGAGCTAAAAGTGAATTAAAAGCCTTACATTTTTATTTCCTTGCTTTCAAGGAAAGGA